GTGGAGGGGGGAGTACCCTGGCATGCGGCGGTGCTGCAGGGAGCTGAGAGGTTCATGACCTCCTGGCACAAGAAGGAAGAAGAGGCCAGCCGACAACGAGCGCCCAAACGAGACCACACAAGCCAACAACCAATGGGGCGGGAGGGGGGCAGGAGACGGACGAGACGGCGAGGGAAGAAAGTAAACGAGAAGAGACGGACCGAGTGGCGTGATACGTACGTGCCGGATTGAATTTATTTTAGCCAATCCCCCCCCCCCCAACGCTGCACCATTGCACCAACCCCCCAGTAGTAATGACGTACCATTACCATGTATCGCTGGTTGGTGGCCATGTTTGCATGTTTGCTTGTTCGTTCGTTAGTGGTCTCTCCACCGTGTGCCTTTTTCTGTCTCTTGTTTCTTGTTATTTTCGGCGTGGTCTCTTTTTGTCCTTGCTCTTTTTCGTTTTCGTTTTCTTTTCTCTTTTTTTTCTTTCTGTTTCCTTTTTTTTTTTTTTCTTAGACCCATGTTTATGGTCGCCAAATCTTTGCGAAAATGTTTATATTTTCAAACATTTGCGGTCAAAGATTTTGTTTCACTGTTTATGGGAGAAAATCTTCGCCAAAATATTCTCAAACATTTTGAAATGGGGCAAAAGTCGCTCGTTTGACAAAATATTCTCAAACATTTTGAAATGGGGCAGGTCGCGAAAATGTTTCCCAAGAGCGGCGAGATTAGTAGCCGACCGCCCCTTCCGTCCTAAACACCAACCACTGCGCAGCGCACACTCAACGTAGCAAGCTCATAGAGGGATCCGGGCAACCCTAGAGTCACCGTGTCAATGTTTTGCCGGCTGATACATGGCGGGAGCTCGTCAAGCGTGCACAAAAAAACAAACAGACAGGGGTGGTTTGGAGGGCACGGAGAAAGCGTGGTCTGTGTCTCCGAACGGCAAAAAGTCGGCTGCTTGAGAGGAGAGGTGAGCACAAAACTATCCAGCTCTCGTCCTCTAGACCATCGGTTCATGTTTTGTTTTCTTGGGTGTCTTCTCCATCAACGGCTCTCATCCGGGTGTGCGTGGTTCAGCAGTGGACGTACTCAACAGGCAGGGAGGCGCGTCGCTGTGAACTCGATGTATTGAAAAAGTCTTTTTTGGGACGGAGGAACAAGACCTCTATATTCAAGTGAAAAAATAGTCCGAAAAAAACGTTGTGTCCACAACGTTGCGCGCACAACGATGTGCCTCCCTGCCGGCTGAGCGCGGCCACTGCTAACCCACGCACAACCGGATGAGAGTCGTTGATGGACAAGACACCCAAGAAGATAAAACATGAATCGATGGTCTAGAGGACGAGAGCTGGATAGTTTTGTACTCACATGTCCTCTCAAGCGGCCGACTTTTTGCCGTTGGGAAGCGCTGACGCACGTTTTGGTCTCTTTTTGACACCGAGAACATTTTTTCTCGCACGCACGGAGCGCTATCGCCACATATTTGCGGGCACAGCATCAGCTCAGTGCATCAAGGGTTGTGGGGAGCCCTTTGCGAGCTCGTTACATTCAGTTTCCATGACGCATTTGTGGTTTGTCTGTCACAAATCATTTGGTAGCAGTAGACCACGATTCCCGCCGCACGTGCGATGCATTTCGAGAAAACCACACGATAAAGATTTGTTTGCCCATAAAAACGGTACTCAAATGTTCCTCTGGCAGATATTCGCGCGCAAATGTTTGATAACATTTGAAGATTTTTTTCAAAGATTTGGCGACCATAAACATGGGTCTTAATATGACACAACGAATCCATCTCTATCATAGAGTCTGAGACAGATTAGCAATGAATTCATAGCGTCAGAAAGTACCTGTATGTCTACGATTTCCCAGACAGCATATAGGGACATCTCCCCTGCGGGTAACAGGCTCAACAAGACAGTTTGGTAGCTGTCTTGTGTGTCTCATATATGTTATGTTGGGAAGGTCCAGAAGAAATGTGTTAGGTACTGGTCTAGCGTTTTGTGTGTGGCACCCTTTTAGCCGTAGGGAATGCAATCTCCCTCAGTTTACAAACGTATTTTCAGTTTGGTACGCGTATGTACCGCGTGTACATGTTGTGCGGACGCATTTCGGAGTATGTGCGGACACACGGGAGTGGTCTCACCATTTCTTACCGTTTTGTGTAATTTCGTGTCGTTAGATGTGCAAATGGCACGGGAGAACATTCTTTCATCATTGCCTCCTGACGTGGTCGCCGATAGAGGCGTGTGGTTGAGGTTTCATCACCGACATGTGGGTGTGTGTTAAATGCAGTGGGTATGGTTACCTATCTATCTCGCCCTTGTGTAGGCAGAAGGTATGGCTACCTCTCCCATTAGTAGGCAGCGCGGACCACAAGTAAAGACAGGGTCTATCATTTCATGTATGTTACATCCTTTGTATTTGGCATGAGAGGAATAAGAGGTTGTTCTAATTTGTAAGTAATTTTGACGGTGTATGGGCAGGGGGAGTACTCCCTGTGTCCGTGTTGTACCCAGGTGTTGTCGCATCAGTTGGCAGCATGTATCATGGACAGGTAGACGTGGAAAGGCGGCGACAGGTGAAGGCAGCAGCAGTATGTTGTGCATGGTGGTATGTTGGGCTTTTACATAGCGCAGTCCATCCTTCGACTACACTCTTTTTCTCTTTTTTCTCCTTGTCGCACATTTCTCTCTCTTTTTCTGTGTCAAATGGCCTTGCTTGTCGCTTCTTGCGTGTGAAGCACCAAGATTGAACCAAGGGGATGTACCTCTTTCTCTCTGGCTGACTCCTAGTCTATGTTACCTCGCATAGCGCGCAGAGGGAGCGGAGGACTCAAGAATATCTGTCGTTGATTTCTATTGACTTGCGGACCCCTCGGGGCCAGTTTGTTTTACCGTACCTTTTTAGGGTAAGTTAGGCGGTGACCACGGGAATCGACCGCGTCAAGTGTTGGATCAGTACAGACATATGAAGGTACACTACTGGGTAGAGAGAGATCAGAACGGTTTTCAATGTGAAGACAACAACAACAACAAACAACCCAGGATCAATCACACAATATACCCTGCTGTGCTATGTCCGAGATACCGTGAATGATGAGGGCGGAGATGAAAACTGCATAACATGTACCTGTGCGCTCTGGCAAGCCACGGTTTCACTACATTGAGTAGTCTTTTTCTAGCACTTTGTAGACGAAAAATTAGCAGGGCTGTCAACGGCAAAAATGGCTGTAGCGTACCCAGGTTTGCGGGTCTGAGTCTTGAAGGCCCGTAGTGCACAACCATGCTGGCAACAACAAGGTTGGCAGTTCTTGTGTCCTCAGTCCTCAGTTCTTAGAAGACCAAGCTACGCACGTGGTGCAACCAGGTATGCAAACCACTCCCAACTTTTTGTTTTCCTCCGGTGGACGCAACATACCGCAACAAACTGCAGATTCCTCTCCCCCGCGCACCAAACAGTCCAGCATCGCTTGATTTACAACTGCTAAACTCATTATTCCTCTGTGTGAGTGGGCACAGCACGCCTACCGGCGGAAGAAGAACCAGTTGAGCCAGCCCTACACTCCTCAACCCGTCCGGCTGCCTCTGGACAATGCCACATGTTCTCACTCCTCTCTCTTCTCCCTGGTGCTTTGCAAACCTGCAAGAAGAGCTTTGTCTGGTACAGTATAGTGCCATGCCGAGCTTCTTCTCCGAAACATACCAACGAACAGAAACGTGTGGAACGCAGAGCGCGGTAGGAACACGGTACACTCATCATACACGCCGACCACGGCTCATTTTCCTCGCGAACACACAACATGGCATACAATATATCCATCATCGTGGAAGTTTTGTCTTTCCTTCAGCACACACCAATACTACCATTGAGTCTTCCATACACGAAACACTGCTGTGTGATCGCCGTTTACATGAATCTTGGGATCATCGCTCGTTTCGTTTGGCGTGGCGGCGAAGCCCCTCTCGTACGCATACGTATTATCTCGAAACCTCCAAAACTGCAGTCATCATCATGGCGATGGATCTCGCGTGGAGGTTCTGGGCTGGCTTACCACTACATACAGCACAGCCAGAATGCGTAACACCGCTCACTGCTCACATATAATACGCATCCTTCACTCACAACAAACGAGCAACTCATCCTCCATGAATACACAAATCGAGCGGGAGCGCAACCCTAACATAGTACCCCAAACTTGGGGTTCCGACCCGATCGACAGCAGCCAGCCATTGTTCCACAAATTCCCACCCTTTCCGCGAACAAAAAGCAGCGCCACAGACCTTTGTCACTCTAAACTCTCTCCCGACTAATTTTTCGCGAACTTTACCCGTAGCTTCACACCAAATTTTGCTACAAAATAGTCCTTCTGGCATCGAAATGCTGGTGTTGTTGCGGTCGCGACGGCCAGCGCCAAGAAACAAGTCTCACCGCCAACTACAGCGCCAAGAAACAAGTCTCACCGCCAACTACGCACAACAAACGTTTCGATTCTGTCCTGTGATAACGATATGAGGTACAGTTACCGACGCGTCACCCCCCCCCCCCCTCTCACCAGCTGGGACCTTGGTCATTTGCAACACAACCCTTCGATTCCGAAAAAACTGGTTGTGCTCCTCTTCACACTATCATCTAATGGTACGAAGTAGTTGATTCTCACGCACGTCGCCCCGCCCCGGATGCGCGACGGCCGCCTCTCTCGTGCCACCGCCCCTGCTAACCATTGCTATGCCACCCACTAATGAGTGCCGCCTGCCCGCTGCTCACGCAAAAACGTCCACAATGCCTGTGGTCATTTCGGCAGCCGCGCCGTGCCATGGTGCTAAGATGTTTGGGGCCAACCCGACCTGGGTTCCAAGGCCACTGAGTATCTACACATCTCACCCCGTAGGGTACGGCTTGTGTTTGGTGTCTTACCCCCCGACCCCCTTCCCTCTCCAACCCCCTTCCAAACTAAACTACGGAGAACGTCACCATGCCCCCGAACACATCGTTGCCTAATCAAAGAATACAAAACTTTAGTTTTTTTTACACTTCGTCGTCGTTCGCTATTTCTTCCGCGAGCTTAGCCGCCGCGGCCGCCGCGTCCACCGCTGAGGTTGGCAAAATCTGAACACCACCGCCTCTTTTTCTCCGCGCCGTCCCAACCGGCCGGAGGAGCTCCCGCCCCGCCCCGCCCGCCGATGGTGCTACCCCTCGACCATCGGCTGCGCCGTAACCGTTGCTTCTTCTGCCGCCAGCGCCAGCTCTCCCGGACGCGGACGAACCCGCCCCAGCGGCACCAAAGAGCCGCTCACCGTCGTAGAAATCGCCGGAGGCGCCGCCGCTGCCGCTGCTATCGCTGCGGGCGCGCGGCCTTGAAGCCTCCTCGTCCTCGTAGAACGTGCTTGCCGTGCGGCGCGTCGGGGAAGAAGAGCGAGGGCCTCCGCCATCACCACCGCCGCCACCACCACGGCTGGTGCCGCGGCTGCGCCCCCTCCTCCCTCGCCGTGTCTCTTCCGCGTCGCCCCTGGTGGGAAAGATAAGGCGGCGCCCCTCCCCGGCCGCGCTTGTGTACCCGTACAGCTTTCTCTCTGAGAAGTCCGGCCTGGGCGGTGGACGTTGCGAGGTAACATGCATACGTAGGATTAATTAGGGAAACGAGTATGCGCGAGGACCGCCTTCGCGCAAAAATTAAGCGTATGAGGAACAGAACAGGGATGGGGGTTACGCAGACCCTACCCCCCACCCCAACCCTAACCAAACTCCCACGATTGCATACTTTATCCAACATGTTTACATAACCGAAAATATCCTGAGAAGGCTACAGTACCCATGCGCGAGGGCCAAGAGAAGAAGCGTGTCACAATTTCGAGAGGCAGGAAAGGCAGCAAATCACAAGCGCGTCGTGGGGCCTTTCAGGTCTATCAGGCCTCCGGAGGGGGTCCCGCGTCCCGACATCGGCGGGCATGATCACAGCGGACAATTATGGCCAAGCATGAACCAAGCGCATGTGAACTTCAACCCAAAACAAGACGTACGGGGGGACGGCGCGCCACGAAAGGGCCGTCAAAGCGTCCAAAAATACTGTACATGCGGCCCCTGTCAACTTGAAGACGAGCACCTTTGACCATCTCCGGGTGAACCATCGTCCCCACGGAAGCAGCAGGAGCAACAGCAGCAGCACCGGCGGCGGAAGCCACGCCAGCACTGTGCCGCCCCCTCGCACAGCGCTTCGAAGACGCCCCCGCCGAATGGCAACCTCCACAGACCTTCCACCTTCCGAACGATCAGGGTCGCTGCGCGAGGGACGAAGAGGCGGCGGCGGTGGCAACGCGCACGGGGTGCAAGTAGGCACGAAGAACGACCGTCACAGCCATGAACGAGCGAGAAGTGGCACTGGAACACGGGAGCAATGCTGGCATTCCTCGCTCGCTGTGTAGGCCAGGCACCACCGTTGCGTTTTTTTGGAGGCAGTACCTCTGCCGCAGGCCGTGGGTATCTTCTGGCCATCCATGTCACAGAAGAACAAATGAACACACGACACTACAGCAGTATCTCGGCAACACAGATACTGCACCGCCAACCCAAAGCCAAAAAACGTGCCGCAGCGGACCGCAGATATACACTAAAAACGAGACAAAGGAGAAGACGGAGCAACTTAGGGCAACGTTTCCCATCGTGTCCCTTCTTCTCACTCACCCGAAGTCACGTACGACACCAAGATGCCAACGAGCGCAGCCATGATGTACACGATCACGGTCCACTTCCTGCTGCCACCTCCGCTAAGCGAGGGTCCCGGATCTTCTGTAGTCGGATCGTCACCAAAATAAGATCCCTTCGAGATCACCGCCGGTGGAGGGGGGGGGG